TTTTTTTTTGGGGGGGGGGGGGGCGGTGTTTGTTTGTTTGTTTTATTTTGTTTTTTAACTCATTACATTTATTTTTTCAGGTCTGTTCTCAAACATCTGGCTGTGGCGAGCTGTCGCTGGAGTCCTTACTGCTGCTGTCATTTTGATTTCATGTATTCATTTTGGTAAGTAAGGAATTTTAAAAGGAAATATAATTAGCAGAGAAGTTACCAGAGTTTGGAGTTCTATACTCAGAGAGTGGTGAGGCCCTGGCACAGGCTGCCCAAAGCTGTGGCTGCCCCATCCCTGTGATGCCTAGAGAGGTTACTTGGAACAGATGCTAGACAGAGTTAATGGAATAAAGTAGGTATTTATTAAAAGGCCTTCAAAGGATACACCTTGGGCGGTTGAAGATCCTGGCTGTGGCTACACCCAAGATGGGCCCAAAATGGATGACCGTTCACGACTTTCCCCACTTTTATAAGTTTTGGTCCATTTACACATTGGGGTTAATTGTCCAATTACAGCTTCAGGTTATGAAGTCCCATCCTCCCAGATTGCTCTCCTCAATTCACCATTATTTATACCTTTTTGGGCTCGAAGCTGCAACAGTGTCCTTGTTTCTCAGGCTGGAAAAGTATTGTTTTGTCTAACTAAACTGTGAAGAGAACTTGCTAACACTTCATATGAAGTTCGGAGTTATACATTACTGCAGTACAGAACCTGAGAAATATGAAAGCTAAAACTTAAGGTATCACTTGGATGCATCCAAGGCCAGGTTGGATGGGGCTTGGAACAACCTGATCTCATGGAATCTGTACCTTCCCATGGCAGGGGGAAAAAAAAAGATCTTTGAAGTTGCTCTCAACCCAAGCACCTTTGTGATTCTGTGTTGTTTGGAACTGTAGACCAGGGCCAGAGCTGCGGAAACAACTCCACATGCTTCAGTGGGGTTAGGGAGGGCTCAGTTTAGTTTTACTGTTCTTTTGTATCAAGTTTGTCACATCACTGTTGGTCTTAATCCAAGTTCAGGAAAACAAATAACAACAGAAAGATTGTCCTACGGATCTGCAGTCCTTCAAAAATGACACTATAATAAACAAAGTTACTAATTCAGCTGCGAGGAAGCCATGCGTTCAAAAACTGGAGTTGTTGGAATTTTTAATCTGTAGAAGAGTCTTTGGGTGATACTTTATTATCACCTCATCAGCTACTTCTACAACTTGTCCCCGACTATCTTTTTAAGGATATATCAAGGGGCAGAAGGGTGCAGGATCCAGACTGTATCATTAGTTTACAGTAATTATTTCAGCTGGACAGAAGTAACAATGCTGTGGCTAGACTGGGATTATTTTAGGTGATGCAGTCAGAAAGTAAAACCTTTCCAGCTGGAAGAAATGGGTAAATTGTTTTTTGTCTTTTCCCAGTAAATCGTTCTCTGGGCAAAGACTCTCCTGCGTGCCCTCCCCTGGACCTGTGTCCATCAGGCTGGCTGTACTTCCAGAGGAAGTGTTACAACCTCTCAGAGAGTGAAGCTGACTGGAACTCCAGCCAGAGCCACTGCTCTTCCCACAACTCTTCCCTCCTGGTCATCGAAAATCTTCAGGAGCTGGTAAGGGAACCAAAGGGAGATCCTGTTTCCCCCCCCAGTTCACTTCCAGGGAACCACTTTGCCAGCCTCCTCAGCTGAACAGTTAGGAAGCTGATGAAAGACCACAATGAGTCACAGCCTGCAGAAAACTGCCTCTTCTCCCTGAAAACAGGAAACATCAGCTTGAGCAGTTGATGAAATGTCCGAGTGCTTGTCTGAATTAAACTTGGTGCTGCTAACAGTTATAAACACTCAAATTAAAGGCATCTATCAGGGTAAACACTGTTGCATCTCATTTTTCTTTAATTACACAACTGTTTTCTCACATTGAGATAGGTTACTGACACACAAGTTGGTAAATACGTTAACTGTGACCTTTGGCTTTAGGAAATAGTTACCCAAAGTGCAGCTTGCAGCATTTTTTTTTCCTATATTATACCACAATATTAGGAAAGATTCCACCCTGCACAAAGGGGGATAGATAGATAGATAGATAGATAGATAGATAGATAGATAGATAGATAGATAGATAGATAGATATGTAGGAGAATATATTCTTCTGTACCTGTTGCAGACCTTGAAAGCAGATATTTTAGATATATTTTTGATATTTTAGAATAGCCTCTCTTTAGGTCAGTCAACCCTATCCCAGTCACCAGTCTCTCTATATTTAGGTTTTAATGTTGTTTCTTCTGCAAGGCTAGAATGTTGTTTTGCTTTGGCCCTGGATCAAGGACTTTGTATTTTGACAGCTGGACTGAACATGCAGAACTTCTTTTCTCATGCGGGTTTATTCCTACAGAACTTTATGATGAAGATAACAAAGCAAAACCCATGGATTGGACTCCATAAAAGAAATGAAGAGTTCTTTTGGGTAAATGGAAAAGCATTAGACAATGAACTGTAAGTTGATGTGGAGGGGTTTTGCTGGTGATATTCGATTATAGGGGAGTAAGAAAAATAATACAGAAATAATGACTTGTAGGAAATATCTGTTATTATGTTGAAGGGATGATTATAGAGAGGGTATGGAATGCAGTGAAGATTTCACATGGCATTGTAAAAACTGGCAGATGAAGTTAGGGGATAAATTTGTAATGTTGAGAAGCAACATGAGGCAGGCTCATGATAACAGACATTAGAGAAAGTGAAACCAAGAGACACCAAAATGCCAAAGGCATTGGAGGTAGGAAGGGAAGATTACAGTAATACAAATTCCTCATTATAGAATATATTTTGCAAAACTACAAACCTGCATGTAAGCTGTGTGAGGTTTATAGCAAAGACTGCTATAGGAGACTGCTAAGACTCCATGTAAACTCCATATAAAAATGTTTTCATTTTTATAGAATGTTCTTCTGAAAGAGGCTGCTGGAGGGAAAGGAAGATGTGGATTTGTGTTGCATGAGCTGCTTGTTCTGTGTTCTGTGCCACCAGTGCCAGGTGTGGGGCACTTTGTTCCTCTCCCTGGCAGCCATCCCATCTCCTCAGAGGCTGCTGCAGCTCATCCTGGAGCAGCTGCTGGCAGGAGTTGGCAGAATTACCATTAATAGGCATAAGCACTGAGATTTCACAAGTCTGAAATTACCTTAAAGAGTGGAAAATTTAAATACTTTTAAGTCTGTGACATTACTGATGATGTGTGACTATATTCACTTCATCCCCAAGCCCTAAAGGCTTGATCTGACAAAGGCATTTAGTGTGAGATATGAGGAACATGTGGGCACCTCAAATTGAAAACTGCAGTCCTTCCCACTCTTTTATCCCCTTTCTGCAATAAGACATCCACTGATGCTTTCATTTTCAGTGAGTTTCTTCCCATTCTTGGACTTCTGCCTCACTGCTTACCTCAAACTGCCCCTCCTGAAGGGGAGGGCAAACACCTTGATATCTAAGCTCAGGTGTTACTACACTGGTGGGGATTTGTCCCTTGGCTTTTCCAGAGACCATTCCAGTTTTCTTGGCCAATCCACAGAATTTTATAGCACTTTGTTTGAAAACACAGTTGCTAAAGGAGTCCCTTACCTCTTATGTAGGGACACCTATAGTGTGGAAACTGAGGTTTGCTTCTTGTTTTTCCCCAATCCCTTAACCATGGTGCCTTCTAGATTCTGAGCAAGGGAGAAATGAGAGATACATGTGCTTCACAGCTCCTGCTGGAACCTTTTAGCTGTATAAGAGGATGTGGAAATGCAAAGTGGTGGTGCCCATCTTGATGGCGTGGCATCCCTGAGAAGAGCAAACCTGGGTTTCAGTCTCTGCCCTAAGGGTGTATTTCACATTAAGTGACCACCAAACAAGATGCAGGAGTACAAGTCCTGGATTTTGTCTTCTTATCACAAGATACCATTAAGAAAAGACAATCTCCACGGTGTTCTCTTCAAGGCACAAAACATCATCCTCCTGTGGTACCTTGCCTGAGATAAATCAGGCTTTATTCAAAGAGAACCTGAGATGCCCGTAGCTGTCTTTGCTCTATTGCAATATTTGATTGTGGGTGTCCAAGTAATCTTGTCTTCCCTTCTCCCTGACAGGTTTGAAGTAAAAGGCTCTGGAAGCTGTGCCTATCTGGAGTCCAAAGGAGTCTCAGCCTCGGGATGTTATTTAACCAGGAAGTGGGTGTGTAGCTTGAATATCAACTCAGCTCAATAAAGGTGGGCCAAGCCACCACCTCAGAGTGGTGAGCCTGACACCTCAGAGCTCTGATATGATGCCTACACAGGATATGTCTATACTTTGGGACCTGGGAGTGTGTGTCAGATCCTACCCAGAGGTGAATGACTTTTCTGGTAGCCAGAATTCTCCACCCATGGAGGAAGGCTTTAAAGATACCATTTAAAAGGCTCTCTTCAGCATCTTGATTAGTCATTTCCTTGCCCCATTTTTCCAGCTACTGCCCAGCTGTAGTTTCCTTTTTGTTGGGCCATCAATATTTCTTCCATTTAGTCTTCTCTTGTAGGAGCAGCTGTTCTTTCTTTCCCTTTTGGGTGTGCAGTTGGAGGTTTTTGCTCTGCTTTTCCTTTTGCCAGCCTCTGTGCAGGGATGGGGGATGGAGTGGGTCTGTCTGGAGGACTGCCAGTGCCTTGTGGCTACAGGGTAATGCAGAAGTGAACACTGTTGTTTTAGACAGGATCACAGTAGATTCCTCTCTCCATGTTTGATGGGATGCACCTTGCATTGTATTCCATGTTTTGTTAATGTTATGTTACATTGATCTTGTTCAATCCTGGTGATAACGCTGTAAAGCTAATTTATAGGTTCACTGCACCTGAAGTGATCCTCACAACACTTTCTTTAGCCAAGAAAAGGTCACAATAGATTGTGAATATTTATTTGCATGAGCATCTGCACTGATGGGGGTGGGAGGTGAAGAGTTAGAACTGGAAGAGTGATAGTGAAGCTGCAGGCATTAATGTGTAAAGCAGTGCAAGGAGGCAAAGTCAGGAGAAGTGAATGAGAGAATTACCAGCAAGGGTTTCTCTGTGTTTTCCTCATGCCCTGTGCCTGTCACACTGTGAGGCTTCTGAGCAATAGAATATATATGCCATTTCCAGATGGATAGTCAGTGATTCCTTGTGTAGGGGACATTTTCAGCAGCAGCCTCCAGTACTCTAGGATTGCTGGGAGCCTGAACAGAATTAGGGCACAATCCCTTTGATTGTCTGAGTCTCACTCATGTCTAGCAGGTTATCTAAAGGTTAAAAGTGTCATTTGACCCAGAGGAAGAAAATTTTCCTGGAAGGAATATAGCTATCAAGTTTCTAGAGAAGGAAAAATGGGAAGTTCACCTTCATCATTTTCTGTGACAGAAGGACTTTACTGTAGCACATGGACCGCACACATGTTTCAGATGTTTATTTAAATATAACCACTAATTTTGCTGGATTACACTTTTCTTAATTGCTTGTATTCTTTATAGGCACAGTAACAGGACCTCTACAGTATGAAAACCTAATTATCTATTAATTTATATGTTGGGGGGAGAGTGTTATTCTGAAATGTTTCTAAATTAGCTTGATTCTGAAGGATATGGAATGTGCAATAGTCCTGAAAAGATACTTAATAAATGTCTTTACAGAGCCCTTGAATTACAGTGGTTTGTATCTAAATATTGAGACATTAAAAGTCTTTTTCATCTCAGGCACCATTTTGGTGAAAAAAAAATTTGAAGCGAAGTAAAACATTCAGGTTTTGAACATGAAAAAAATGTTTAATCATAATGTTGGGGCTGACATGAAACAGGACATTTGATCCAAAAAAGAATGTTTTTCCCTTTCTAATGCCTCATAATGGGTCAGACTTTATAAAAGAGGTTACAGTGAAAGCTCTTAAGAAATCTGACTCCTCAGGGATAGCATCTTCTTCAGTGATGTTAAGAAAAGAAGAGTCAAGCTGCAAACTCTGACAACTTGCTTTACTCAGAGTGGAGTTTGATGAAGTACTTCAATGGTAATTTCTTTTTTCTTTTTAAATAAGTGACTGCTTAAATTGTAGGTGAGAGCTTAAGGAAGGCCCTGCAAAAACTTGTTTAATTACATGAATAATAGCAAAAAGGTCCAAATAGTAGATGTTTTGTGAATATTGTTAAAACCTAAACACCACAACTAATTTGAGAAAATCCAGCATGCAGGAGTTAGTTTTTCTTGTTAAATTCAGCATGAATCAAGAAAGATGTGCCATAAAACCAGAAATTGTCAACTCTACTGCATGGAGAAGGGTGTGCTGTGAGTACCCTGAAAATTTCTCAGCAAAGAGAAATTCTCTCTCTATAAAGCATGTATTATATAGGTATAGACTATTATCTTACTCATTTTAGACTCTTTCCTTTTCTTTGCTTCTCTATAGAATGAGCAAACCAATCCTCTTCCCCCCACATGCTGTGAATTTGGGGGATTTTTGTTGTTTCCTCTTACATAACAGCAGTTTCTCATCAGTCTTGAGCTCCTGATGCTGCATTCTGTGGGGTAAATCTGTGTTGGGATTTTTTTGTTGTTATTGTTTGAAGGGAAGTCCCTGAGGGGACAGTTCACTTTTTAATCTGCAGCCCTAAAGTGATGAATATTAACCCTCCCCAGGCGTGTGCAGGCGTGAAAAAACATCTCTGTGAAACTGCAGCTGCTTTTATTTGTGTGTATCACAACAAAGATGAGGTAAAGGCTCACCATCTCAAAAGCCACGTTACAATGCATTTACTGAATGCATTCCCAGGCATTCATTTCACCAGACTTATGGCTCATTATAGCATAACTGTGGTTGGAATTTACAATGTAACGGGACAAAATATAGGTGGAGAGGAAGGTGATAACTTCATTTCCTTGCACTGCAATGTTGTCTTACAGTCCAAGCCCCTTCCCTAGTTAATCCCTTCAGATTCCAAGGCTCAGCACCAGAAGAAGATGGGAGCAGTCAGCAGATTAACCACGATTGTTACAAGTCACTCCATGCCTGATCTGCTGTCTACACCCAGTAGCTTACAAGTCACTCCATGCCTGATCTGCTGTCTACACCCAGTAGCTCTGCAGCAGCTTTAAATAAGACACTGTCCAATAAATGCATTTTTTCCCCAGCCCTCAAGTGGCTTCTGTGAGTCACAGTTAGACCCCAAGGAAAAGAAAACAAATCCACAGGCTTCAGAAAACACTAAAATCCTGAAACCCAACTAAGAAGTCCTCAGCTCAGCAGCTGTCTGCGGGCAGAGGTGACAGCAGTGGGCCCAGCACACTCTTCATCCCCCACAGGGGCTGTAATTCCTACACATCACACGGTTCATGTGCACAGGGCTCCTCCTCACAAGTATCTCTTCTCCTCTGACCTTTCCTGAGGCAGCTGCTGCCAAAATCTGTCTGTGTGAAGGCTCAGCACCCCAAAATCCTCATGTGCCAGCTTACAGCCCTGTTAAAGGGCCTGTCTTCTGACTTCTTAGAGAGCACAGCAAAGTGCAAATTTCCCTGCAAGTCTGATCAAAACTATTTACACCACAAGTTGGTTTGTCTGTAAAATGGGTCTTCTGACAAGAAGCTCTGCCTGTTGTCTGGAAATGCAGCTCAGAGCACCAGCAAAGTTGCGTTCTTCTTACAGATCCACTCCTTTAATGTCTGGCAGTTATCTGCCTGGATCACATTTTTCCTTCTGTAAACGGCACAGTTCTTGTCAGCCTTGATGCTTCTTAGAGCTGTCCTGCTGAGAGACCAAAAGGAATGCAGTTGTCAGCTTTAAACTCAGCTTTAAACTCATCCTGGTGGTGCTCTGAGTGAGAGGGGGGATGATGCCCACTCCAGCAGCCCCTTGAAGCACAGCAGCTGTGCAGAGGTGGGTTGGGCACCCCCAGCAGGGACTGCTGGCTTCTGAGGGATGGATGCTCGGGATTATTTGTGTTACAAGGATAAGGATCCTCCCCATGCAGCCACAATGCTGAAGAAAGCTGCTCGGGTCCCAGCCAATGCTATGTGACAGGCATCACCTTCAACAGGGGCATGGTCTGTAAAGTGAGAGTTTGTTGGCAGGGATTTCAGCAGAAGTGTGTAATAATATCTCTGCATTAATAAATGCATGAGCTGTGGCTGTGGTTGGTCCTGGAGGCAGAAATCAGTTTCCAAAAGTGCCCAGCAGGAATCTGTTGACCTGAAACTGGGCATGAAATAGACTGAATACGTACCTGTGGCTGCAGGGTTAGATTTGTGCTTTGGGTAATTAGCTCAGATTCAGAGCTGTATTTCCAAGCAGGATTACCACACTTGCTTTTCCTAAAGATATCCTCCCCCCCACAAATCATCACCTCTGTTTTTTTACTGTGTGATCTTCCACTGAACTCCATGTTTTCTCCATGTCTTCAGTGTCCAAGCCAATCCAAATATATTTGGTATCTTTGTCTTTGTTGTCTATAAATTCCTGTGGAATGATTAGAAGGATGTTACCTGACAGAAGAACTTTCCTGCTGTGCCTAGGTCACTGTCCTGCCTCATTCACAGCTTTATTTCCTCTTGAAGAGCAAGGACAGGGATGCAGCCACGGCAGAGCAGCCTCTTACATCAGCCCATACACATGACCAGGCTCCTCTCTTCCCAGAGCCAAGTGGTAGAAACGAGTGGAAAGTCACCAGCATTTCCTCCTCCCAGTCAAAACTACTCTGGCTTCCACACTTGGCATCTTTTGTGCTTCTCCTCTTCAGCTCTGCTCTGCTGACATTCCCAAACCCAGCTCCTGTGCAGGGAGGGTCAGATCCTTTCCCTGGTGGGGGGCTCTTGCTTGTCTACCTGTACTTTTGACATCCAGGCCATTTTCTCTTGGAGAAATGTTTGGCTAAGGCCTGTCACATGCTTTTAGGGCTGCTGCAAGACTCACCATCTCAATTTCATCCTCAATGACAAGCAGCTGGGATTTCCTGGCCAGGCAGTTTTTCTGGCTGTCCTCCCAGCTCCTGGCCTCCTCAGAGAAGAAGTAACATCTGCTCCTGTGCAGCTGCCACCCGGCGGGACACAGCTCACATGTTGTCCCTATGGGTGGACAGGGGCAACCTTTAGCTCCTACAATTAATGGAATTCCTCCTCCTTTTTATGAACCATTGTCTGGGAAGTGTTCTCCAGGACAAGAGGAGGATATATGGCATTTGTGACAGCATCTCCTGGCAGAAAGAAACGTAATGAAAATACTGGAAACTATACCAAAAGAGGAGTGAGACTATCATGGTTAAAATGTTAGTTTAGATTTTGCTATCACTGCTCTGCAGGAACATCATGCTTCCTGGGTAGCACCAATGACTTCCCATAAACTGCAGGGAGTCAGAGAAATGGGAACAGAGACAACAGAGCTTTGCACACCACATGTCCCCTATGCTAAGAAGGACTAATGTGCCTTACCCTGTCCATTTTCACACAGCTCCGCCATGAGCCATTTCAGGAGTGCTGCTGAGTCAGTCCTCTCTGAAATGTTACTGCTGCTGTTGTTCAGACCATACTGGGGCAAACTTTCCGATTTTCCCGCTCTGCCCTTCAAAACTTGAAGGGCCCGAAGTAAGCAAAAAAAAAAAAAAGGAAAAAAAAAGAAAGAGAGAGATCATGGTTAACAACAAAGATAAAGAAATAAAGAAATTCAGTCTTTGTACCCAGTGCTGTACAGTGAATGTGAGGATGTTTCTGTGTACATTGCCTGGTACAGAAACAGCTGTGAGCAAACTCAGTGAGTAAAGCTCAGTGAGCAAAGCCCTCCTGAGAAGATGTTTGTGAAATGGCCTGGCTTGGAAAGACTTTAAAGATCATTTCATTCCAAACCCCTGCTATGGGCAGAGACACCTTCCACTATCCCAGGTTGCTCAGAGCCCCTTCCAGCCTGGCCTTGGACACTGCCAGGGATGGGGCAGCCACAGCTTCTCCAAGGATCCTGTGCCACGGACTCACCACCCTCACAGAGAAGAATTTCTTCCTCATATCCAACCTACATCTGCTGTCTGTCAGTGTGAAGCCATTGTCCCTTGTCCTGTCACTCCAGGCCCTTGTCAAGTATTTCCTGTATTTGTGTACAAGTTGACACCTTTTAGTGCGACACTAAGGGAATTTTTCTCTCAGCTCTTTCAGAGGTTTAAGCATGTCTGCAATGAAGGGATGAAGCAGGAGGAAGGATCTACTCACATTGCTTGGCCTGTATGGCCACGACTCCCAGTAGGATGAGCACGAGGACTGCCAGAACCAGCGCCACGTAGAACCAGGCTGAGCACCTGTGCCGACAGTCTGGAGGGAGGCAGGAGGAAGAGCAGCTTAATGTCCTGGCGTTAAGAATTTGCCTTTTCTCCTTTGACTTATTTTTCTCAAGCATTGCCTCCTCACACCTACCCACACACACCCTGCAGGACCTTGCAGAGCAATTCAGGGAAAGTATCAAGGATGGGCTGGGGTGTCAGGGATAGGCTGTGGAGTGTTCCTCCTCTCTGTTTCCAAATGTTGTTGTTCCTGTCCTGCACCTCAAAGATAACTTCCCTAAATGCATCAGAAAAAAAGCCCCATGCTGACACTCCCAGGCACAGGGAAGTCCATCAAAGCAAGTATCTCTGCAGCTGTTTGGCATTCATCCTGTGTTGGAGGGAAACACTCAGGAAGCTTCAGAACCTGAGGAAATTTGGGGTAAAGGTTTCATGAGACACAGACTTGCACAGACTGTCATAACCTGTGTTTCCCTGACCTTGCCTGTATGAGATGAGCAACTGCTCCGTCCTCTGGCTTCCTGAGCTATCTGGTATAATGTTCCCTTTCCCTGGCAGGCAGGTCCTTCAGTCCAGGAAGGGTGAGAATCATCACCAGGGCACTAATGGCACACAGACCTGCATTACCCTGCTTCCAAAGCCAAATGCATCCCTGGGACTCTTCCTGAAGGAGGGCTCTAAAAAAAATGGAATTCTACTTTGCTTTACTGCATTTTCCATGCAGGGCACAAAGGCATTTTTAGAAATTATTTTTAAAACACGTCTATCAATATTTAGGGAAGTGAAGAATCTGAGAACCCAGCAGAAAAAAAAAGCAGCAGATGAAATGATAGATCAGTCCTTCATTGAAAGAGTGTACATAAAGGCTCATAACAGGTTTCACTGTTGGGCAATAGGAAAAACTAGATCTATAATTAGTAACCAAATTGTACAGTACCAGGAGCGGAAGTCTCTGCTCTGCTGTTTCCATGGGGTCTCTTCACGTGCAGCTCAGCGTATGTGATCGTGCTTCCTGTAAGGAGAGGGCATTTGTGGCTGTGCAAATCACCAAATAGAGGAACAATAAAGGCTGAGCCTCTATGAAAAGGGGTGTGTGTTTGCAGGGCTGCCTGTTCAGCATTTTTCTTTTCCTAGGCAACAACAGGCAAGATGATGATTTACCACTTCCTCCTGCTGTCAGCAGGAAAAGCCTCCTCCATATGCTTTGAACTGTTGGGTGCTGTGTGGCTGGAGCAGGAGCCAGACAAACAGGCTGAAGGATGGGAAAGACCTGGATCCTATCCATGGCAAGCATCCCATCTGTTGCTAAGCCATCTCAGAAGGTACCACAGGGGCTGGAGGGGCACCAGACCCGTGACTGCTTTGTGGGGCAGAGAGATGCCAAAAGGAAAACCAGCATTTAGAGAAATGCTGCTGCAGCAAGGTAACTCCTGGGGGCATTCCTGACTCATGACTGTTTATCCAAGGATATTACAGGTGGTGCTTGTAGCAGCAGAGGAATGGACCTGATGGCTGAAGACATCCTTTTCCAAAAGCACATTGCCAAAACAGAACCAAAAAGGGCATTAAAATCTCACGGTGTGGGTTCAAGGCACATGGATTCTTTCTGAACATGTTTTCAGTATCATTTGCCTGGGTATTTTGCAGAGCTACTGGTTAGTCTTATGGAAGATATCTGGACCTTTGGGACGCTGCTTTTGCTTCCGTAAATGGAGAGATTTTATCCATCTGTATCAAGAATAAGCTTCTGTGCTACCACCCTAGTTTGTGACTACTGGGGCTTTTAAAAAGAACTGTTGTATTAAACTTCACTGATCAGGGAAAACCTTGGCAGAAGAAGAGATTCTCATTAGGTTAAAATGAGGCAGCATTTCGTATGAGAATTGCTGAAGTGTGGAGAGGTTTTACAGTAAAACAAAAACACTGAGAATCTGATTGGCAAATAAGGGTAATTCATGTACGGAGACAGTCTACACTTTAGAGAATCTGACCTAACACATTTGGTTTTTTGCTTTATTTCAATTTATTAGTTCAATGAACTGCAGAAAATTTGTAAATTAAATGTAATTGTTCTCAAATCAAATGCCTTAAAAGTTTTTCTTCTTAGAATGTAAATAATTTTCCAAAAACACTCAGGACTTTTAAACTTTTAAATGCACTAGCCCTGTAAACAGAGGTATTTCTAAAATAAGTACTTTAGACATTCTTCTACTATTAGTAAATAATTTGTCTCTCAAATGAACATTTATTCCTTTAAAGAATCTCTAAGTCTCTAAGTCTGTAAAAAAAATAATTATCAATGCAAGCTGAATATTTAAACAGTTATTCCTTCTATTACAGTGTGTATGGGCACACGATTATTTGAATGTGAATCCTCAGAAGTCAGCAGGGGGTTTTAAATTACCACATAAGCTTAATTCTGCCGGATGCTTCCACACCCTCACCTAATTCAACAACAAGGTGGAGATCTCTGTCAGTCACTAAAACTGAAATTTCACTTCCCTATGCCTGTTGTCAGGTGCAGAAAAACATCTCTGTTTATTGGAAGCTTCTGTTTGGTGAAAGTGCAGACAGCGAGTGCTGCTGGAGGGGGTGTCAGCAGTAGTGTGGCCAGCAGGAGCAGGGATATTGTTCTTCCCCTTGTTTAGCCTGGAGAAAAGGAGACTCAGAGGTGACCTTATCACTCTCTACAACCTCCTGAGAGGTGGCTGTAGTCAGGTGGGGGTCAGTCTCTTTTCCAGGCAGCAATTGACAGAATGAGAGGACACAGACTTAAGCTGAGCCAAGGGAAATTTAGGTTGGACGTTAGGAAAAAGTTCTTCATGGAAAGGGTGATAAAATACTGGAATGTTCTGCCTGGGGAGATGGTGGAGTCACCATCCCTGGATGTGTTTAAAGAAAGACTGGATATGGCATTTGGTGCCATGGTTTAGTTGAGGTGTTAGGGCTGGGTTGGACTCAATGACCTTGAAGGTCTCTTCCAACCCAGTGATTCTGTGATTAGAGAATGTTGTGTCCAGATGTGGGCCAGCACCTCCAGGGGTCTGAGGGAAGCTGGAGAGGCTCCAGGTGGACCTGATCAACACCCGGAGCAGCCCAAGAGGTTAAGAAAGGGAATAAGAAGTTAAGGGCACAACCAATAGCAAGCTACAACTACTTGTGGGTTAGTTTGGTGATGGATTTCAACTTTACTTGGCTTGTTATTCTCCCAAGGAAAGTTTTGTGTAGCCACTCACAATTTATTATCAGGCAACTCTCAAATTATCTGTGAGGGAACCAGGACACAAAAGACTACTGGAGTCTTTCACTGGAAAATGGATTCCCAGGTGTCTTTATCCTTGCTGGGATTTGGGAACACTTTTCTACTTTTGAATACCTGTTTTGAAGCACCTGCACAGTAAAGCACCTGCACCTACCATAGTGCCATTGCTAAATCCTCCTCAATACCGTCTGGCAGAGCAGCCAAGAATCCCCTCGTCCTTGTCATTCAGAGCCCCCGAGTGACAGCTGAAGTCCAATTGTAAGTCCAAGCCCAGTCAAACAAAATATATTTGTGTATAATCAGACATAAGAGTGGGGAAGGTGAGACTGGGAGCTATAAACAGTGAAGAAAATATTAGGTAAGAGATTTTTGTCTCTATATAATTGAGACAGCATAACCAAGACTTGTAGAAATATTGGGTGAATCTCTAGTGCCTGTTTGTTAAAGGAGATGGAAGCACTGGACTATGAACAGAAGAACATCCACAAAAATGATAAGCATTTTTGAGAAGTTAAATATTTAAAGGGAAAAGGGCATTGAGAAATCACTTAATTACCATGGCCAGTAACTTCATGTGAGAAAATATCAAGAGTTAAAATCAGTTCAACAAAAGTTTCCTAAGAGCCATCCACACGTTAATGATAAATTTCATTGGAACTGTCCTGTCCGAAATTGAGCTTTTCCTTTAGGCAGCATGATTTAGGAATAGTTTTGGATATCTTCTAATCAAGATTTGATGTCTGTCTCCCTTCACAAATAAGTTTTATCACTTTGGATACTGGGTAAAATTACAGGCAAGCCCTCTTTGTGTTGCACAGGTTACAGCAACAACATCCATGGGTGCATGGACACACAGTCTAAGGTAGTATTTCATATCATAAATATAATAAAGTGAACTTATTTTTATCTTTTCGATACCAGTCTTGTAAAAATATATAAAAGGTATCCTTTTCTGTCATTTAATTGCATGTGTTCAGAGCACTGTCATCACTATTAATCTCCATTCTAAGTAGAACATTTAAAAATGTTCATTACACATTGTTATTACCTTAAGGGATTAAATACATTAATTACTAATGAAAGCATGAAGATATCCTTAGTTGATGCCACAAGCATTTCCTATTTGCTCATAATAAGCTTTCATTCATATTAGATGTGATCCAATTTTAGAATTTTGTCCAAATGCTTTCATGAATGAATTTTTTTCCAAGTAGTAGAAATGTTACTTCTTCAGAAAATTTAGTTTAGAACATCTCCTTACCCTGAATATTGGCTCAATCCTTTGGGTTGTTTTTACAAATATAGGAAGTGATCACAGATTGATAATTTGCTTCTGGAGAATCACCACTGGAAAATTAAAGAGAAAGAGCAGGAAGTTTTTAGGGGACATTCACTACTTCCTTCAGTGACAGTGACTACACTTTTGACTGCCACTAGTTTCCTGATTTACTGGTTAATTTACTGCTCCTTTTCCATGAACATAAACACTGATCTGATTTGTGGGCTAGGTAGTAATTCAGTGGAGCATTGTCTTGATCATATTACTCATTTAAAAAGAAACATTACGCTCATTATTCAAACAATGAACACTTTTTCTTTCTCATTCTGTTACTTAAAGCCTGGGACCAGACCTGAGCTGCTGCTCGTTGGTGATTGTGATTTGGGAGCAGCTTGGCTGATTTGTACTGCAAGGATCTCATCCACTATTCCAACTTCTTGCCCTTCCCATGCAGCGTCCTATGGCCTTCTTCTAGTCTTACCCAATTTAAAATGTGAGACAGAAAGAGAGAAAAAGAGAGAGAGCGCACAAGAGAGCAAACAGTGCATACCCAAGATGTTTTACCTGGGTTTGATGTTCCTGAAGGAGTGTGTGGCCTTTCCCTCGGCAGCATTGCCACGGCCGCATAGGTGACATCCCCTGCCATCCGTGAGCCTGTCCCCCGGAGCTATGGATAGAGCAGCTTCACCACAATCATTTGCATGCTGTCTCAGCTTTGCCTGCCTCCAGAACAGTCACACGCTGTGCTATGGCTCTGAGGAAGGCTGAGAAACACTAAAAAGGAAGTCACTAAGTCACCTCTTTCAGTGCAGCTTCAAAGACTGTTTTCAGCCACTGTTCTTCTTGCCTTTCAGAATAAGCGAGAAAATGAAGATTACACTAATAGATATTAAAAAACCTTATTGGTCAAAGCAGAGGGAATTTACTAAGGAATGCCCAAAAATGGACTTACACAGGTATGAAAGGTTTGCTGGTTCTCATGAGAATAGAGGGTACAATTTGTGCTGTGGCTGTTCTGTGCTCCTCTGCATGATCTTACACAGCCTATTCACCTGAAAGGAAGATAAACAAGAAGAACATGTATCATTATAAGATGTTTTGGGGGTTAATGAAACTGCAACCACCCAGCTTCAAAAATGTAACTCAAATTCTAACCTGCTCCACCCACTAAGTACTTTAATGGCTTAACATTAATGGTTAATTTTTGGCGATATTGACAATGCATGAATATGAACTCAAAATCTAAAAAAATATGATCAATGTTTTTACAAGAATGTTTCCATACTTTACTGTAACAGTAGTTAAGGAGCTGCTATTCCTACATTGCTTGAACTATTCCCTGCTTGAGCCAACAATTCCACAGATGGAAAACCTGAGTTGCCTTTATTACCTTAAACTCCTTTTTCATTACCCGCGTGTTTGCTGAAGTATATTTGCATGACAGTGTTTTTGTCCTCTATTTCAGGTTGGGGGAAGCCTCACAGATTTTAATTGAAATGTAAACAAGGTACTAAAACCTAAAAATACATTTAGAACACTCAGACACAGAGTTCTGTGCATGACATTTCCTTCTAAGAGCTATGCTCTTGGTCTTGTGCCTTATTCCCACTTAGAAAATTCCTCCCAAGTTCAACACAGAAAGGATCTGCAAACCTACATGGGTCTGTGGAAAATAATGTTTATACAGGCTGTTTGCAGGGTTTTGTTACATTCAAAGGCACCTAAAAAAAAACAAAGTTTGGGACTGTAATCTTACACTACTGATCTTTTCCCTTATGATGTTAAATGCTGGTAATGGTGTTAAGTGCAGAAACAAAAAAGCTTTGGGGGGGAAAGAGGAACCTTTGATAGTCATGGAACAGATTAGTCAGAAGTGCTGCTTCCGTATGACTTATAAGCAACGTATCTAAATCATTATGGGTTTATAATCTGATAATAATTGGTAAATCAATACTGTGTGCTGGAGCCTGATAAGGTTTGTTTCACAGACACATACATAGCAGCCATATCACCAGACCTCACATGAAACAGAACTTCGTCCTCTGAATCAGTTTTTCCATGAACTTCTCGGCATCCTTTACAGCAGGATAGTTAGGCTCTGAAATGGAAAAAAAAAACCCAAAAAACAAAACACCACCCTGAACTAAACCAAATTTCCTTATTTGGGTTTTATTTGAAACTTTGGTCAATAAAGGAAAGTTAGAAGGCCAAGTGGGTTGTTTGAACTCTCAGTCCCTTTCCATCACTGCACACACTCTTCAGCAGTCTCTTCTCTCATGACTGCCTCCTAAACCAGTCACAAGCATCCAGAGGTAACACTGTACAGTCTTGATGCCATTTCCTCTTGTCCTGCCCCTTGTTCCCTGGGAGCAGAGCCTGACATCCCCTGGCTGCCCCCTCCTCTCAGGGAGGTGTGCAGAGCCAGAAGGTTTCCCCCTGAGCCTCCTTTTCTCCAGGCTGAGCCTCTCCAGCTCCTTCAGCTGCATCTTCACAAGCTGTAATCTGGGTTGTTTAATTTTTCACATGATCCACCTTCACCTTGTGTTTTTGGGGTTCTCCAGGTAGAGCCTTGCCTCAGCCTCTTCTTCTGTCACAGGAAATGAATCTGGATTAATATGCAGAACTTACAGAACCCTATGAGGCCCCTAAAATACCAAGGGCTGTGTATCAAACATCCATATGTCGGGGGAGGGGGAAGTGGTGTTTTAACCTTGTATTTTCACTCTTTTTGGCAAAACAGGGAGATATCTGAAGGCCCAGACTCTTGCAGAACCTGCAAGGAAAGGTGGTGGGATTGTTGTGTAGGATTTCTCTGCACATTATGTAGAGCTTGACAGCCTGCAGCTCCAGAGGCACTGTGGGGGTAGGTAGGCAAAGGATGTGAGCTCATGTCATTCCCCATCCTGGGTGCACACAGACTCCCCCTTTCCAAGTGCCAAGCCTGAGTGATGTCACTGAGTGATGTTCTGGTGTCAGCACAGTTACCAGCTCCAGCTATGCACAGAACAAACGTGGTGACAACTGCAGATGCCTCCCTGTCTTGTGGGTGTGACAGCGTCACCTTCTTTGCCTGTGGAGGCAAAGGCAGACTGAAAACAGTGACGTGGGCTGCCAAGCAGAATCCAGCAAAGCAGAATTCAGCCCCTCCTGCCACAGAACAGGCAGCTCAGCCCAGGACTTCAGCTGCCCCATAATGCACATTTGAAAGATTTTGAACTGCCAGTCTGACAATAAAATGCAGTTCCCAAAGGCTGAGCTGCAACACAGAGGTTTTCAGGCTAAATTGAGAGAGTACCATGAGTAAATGTCCAGTTTAGGTTTCAATTCTAAGCCTCTGCTGTGTCACAGCAGAGCCTGTTTGCATAATGAGCACCCAGAAGGCATGATCAGAGCTAGGGCTGAAACAAAGACACCGGTTACCATAAAGGAATGTCTGAGTGTGGTTATCCCACACTGCAGCAGGAAAAAAAGAAGTCATTTAAACTTTTGAACTCACAGGCTGAATTTTTTTTAATCTGTTTTGTTAGAAAACCAAAATTTTGTTAGAAAAACAAAATGTTCCCTGCTGTGCTCTATTCTGCCATACAGACACAGTCTACCTTGCTTCAGGTCTAGTAGAGCTCCTGTCTCTTAGCGCCATGTCTGAAAACCTCTGGGTTTTGGGTGTCACTTTAACCTGTGGGTCTGAGAGCACTTAACAAAGAAGAGAATCAATTCCAGGATGCAGATGGAAGGGCAAAAATAAAAGGACTTGCCTGAGCCCATCAGCAGGCCAGAGGCAGGGGTAAAAGACTGCTCAGCACTTCTATTCCTCAATACCCTTTTCTGAAAGTGTGCTGGTTTGGGCTGGGACAGAGCTCATTTAATTCACAGGAGCTACCATGGATTTGTGCTGGAAGCAGTGTGGGTAACACAGGGATGTTTTAGCTATTGCAGTGATTGCACAGCATCTTTTCTGCTCCTCACCCCACCCCAGCAGCCAGGAGGCTGCACAGGAGTTGGGAGGGGACACAGCTGGGACAGCTGACCCCAGTTGACCAAAGGGATTTCCCGTATGGAATCATGATCAGTATTTAAAGCTGAGGGAAGGAGGAAGGGGGGGATGTTTGGAGTGCTGGTGTTTCCTAGGTTTCCTAGGTTATGTGTGGTGGAGCCCTGCTCTCCTGAGGATGTCTGAGCACCTGCTGCCCATGGGAAGCTGTAAGTTAAATCCTTCTTTTGACTTTTCTTGTGTGTGCAGCTTTTGCTTTATCTATTAGAGTGTTATCTCAGCCCACCAACTTTCTCACTTTTACTCTTCTGGTTCTCCTCCCCATTCCCCAGGTGTGAAGGAACCAGAGTGGCTCTGTGGGGCTGAGCTGCTGATGGGGTTAACCATGACAGCAGGCCAAGCTGATTGCTGATACCTCATAGGTTTGTGGGTTGTTGCTTCAAAACTGTAAAACCTGAATCCAGTTTCATCACTTCCCTTCTTTCCATGCACTCCAGAGCTCTTTCTGGAAATACATACCCATGTTGATGTAGAAATCCCTTAGCCGTTAATACATTTATTTTATGTCAAAGTGTGTTTGGGTAAAAAGCTTCTTTCTGCTTGTGAAACTGGAAGCAAAGCTGTTGTAAAAGCAGGACCATCTATCAATTCTGTAGATTGAATGGACAAATGGTGCTTGTAAGCACACACAGCTTACAATCCTTCCAGAAGTTATTGGCATTAATACCCAGTGGCAGAAATGAAGAACAAAGAGCCCTCCCTTCCAAAAAACTTCCACTGCTCTCTAGCCTTGTTTCTTTACAAGTACGTGATATCTTTACATTTTTCACCAGGAGGCAGAAATGGAACTATTGAATGAATTTTTCTTGATAGTTTCAAGATTCAAAAACCCTTATCACATTGGCCTCAGAACACATTAGTATAACAATGCAGATGATACAGCTCTTAAATTATGATGTTTGCATTGGAGGGGGGGTTAAATTTAAGAAAAGTTTGATGTATAAGAATCCAGCTTGAGCAACAAAGAGTGAGTCAGAGAGAGCAGTAAGGTCATGTATTGCTTGGATGGAATTAACACATTGGAACTACTCCAGTAATATTTGCTGCCAGTGAGCTGCAGCAGTGGAACTAGAGAAGGAGGCTAAGTGTGAAGCAGGGTTTTAACAGGAGTGCCTAGGGTTATGTGGATCTTGAATATGGAAAAACAAGGAATTAGAAACAAGAGCAGTACAGAAGAACAAGAAATCCTTTTCAATCCTAAATGTATCACCACTGAGAGGTTTCAGTAAAGAATCCCAGCATGGGTCAGGCTGAAAGGGTCATCTGCTCCCACCTCCCTCCAAGCAGGTCCATCCCAGGGCACAGGATTGTGTCCAGACTGGAATATCCCCGCTGAGGAGACTCTCCACCATCTCTGGACAATCTGTTCAGGGCTCAGTCACTGCCCAGGACAGTTCTGTCTCATGTCCAGGTGGAACTTCCTGGGATCAGTCCCTGCCCGTTCCTCTGGTGCCATTGCTGGGCCCCCCGGAGCAGAGCCTGGGCCCTGCTCTGAGCCCTCCCTGCTCACAGGGACACCCAGGCCTGAGGGCCCCTCTCAGCTGGGGCTCCTCTCGAGGCTGGACAGCCCCAGCTCCCTCAGCCTTTCCCTGTCAGAGATGCTCCAGGCCCCAAATCATCTCTGCAGCCTCTGCTGGCCCCGCTCCAGGAGCTCTCAGTTAAGTTGTAATAATGGACAAACTGGAACAATTTATATCAATAACACAGCACACAATTTATCCAGCTATGCTGAGTAATTGATGTTGGCTCTTGATTTTTCTTCTGTTAAAAATTGTTCTTACATGAAGTATTGGTCGTGAACTGAATATCAGAGCTAAGTAACTAAGCAATTCATGTTTGGAATCTAGATGTCTAAGTTCTCTGAGGGCTGGGATTTTATGATCTGAGAGGCTCTTCCCTGGGACACTTCAAAGAAATAAAGTTTAAAAAGAGAAGCTTGAAAGCTTTCCAGCAGAAATCCTTGTACTTTGCCCCTTGCTGCTTCTGGTGCTTTTGACAAAACCCCCAGAAGTTCCTGAAAAGACCTTAGGGGACAGTAAATTACTGTCTTGCAGTGTTAATTTCAGTTATTCTTAAATTTTCCTTAGATGTTGTTCCTGCAAACAAACCAAAGTGAAACAAACCAACCAAACAAAAAGCAAAACGAAAACACACACACACACACACAGAAAATCCCCCAAAACCTATAAAAAACACCCAAACTGAGATGATCTCTGAGGACCCTTCCACCCCAAGGGTTCTAAGTGTGCAGAACAAGAAGGGAGCAGCAGATGGCCATTGTGCTTTGAACTGCAGCCACACAGTAGCATGGAAACTAGGAAAGAAATTGTACAGTGTAAATTACACAGCCAAGTGAACTCCTTCTCTCTCCCCTTGCTCTTCCTCTGTCTCTGACAAACTCCAGACCCTTCTAACA